ATTTTTTCATCACACATTTTTGTGCTCGTCCACTGCCCACCTCCATTTTTACCTGTCCCCATACCAATTAATTTACATTTTTATATATTATATATATTATATATATTGGGGTTACCCAACCCAGTTCCCTGGCCTACAATTGTTGTTCTCCAGGTTTAATGAAACATGTATGTTTAGTACAGCATAATTTTTCATTAAATTTATGATGTAAAAATTATCATTCCTATAACAATTGGTGATCATTTCACAATATCTGTCAACATAATTGCAATATGATGTTTTTACCATACTGGCAGCCCTATTTTAATTTCATCAGACAGACTCGGCTAAAGGCTTTCACCTTATTTTGATGCAGGTTGTACATTTCAGCTATGGAGAAGTGAGGCATCTCTGAATTTGTGTTAGAATGCAGCAGTGTAAAGCATTGCATGTATTTTAATGTGCCTTGTGAGTGTGTGTGTATCTCCAATAATAACTGTTTGCATAACTGATTAGGCACTAATCAAAAGTGAAACATCAATTCCAGGCATGGCCCTCAACAAACAGGTAAGCAGAAAGTGGGAAGAAAGAAAGGAGGGGGAGCTTTTATTAGCTGGGCCTGTAGAGGAAGTTGCCTCTAAGAGGCTGTGACCTTGGAGCTTTGCTATCAGACACATGCATAAACAGGCACGCACTGCTGTGCCACAACCTTCAGCTTTCATCAGAGGCCAACATGTCCTCCAACAAAAATGGACTGTGACAAATACAAGGAGACAATTGGTTTATGTAGAATGGACAAGGATGGGAAAGTGGCCAGAGAAAGCTGAGGAAGATACCATTCCTCTCGCCAATATCTCATCACGGTAAGTAGTCCCAATGCAACTGCACCACTGCACACAGCCTATACTGTCACAACTAAATCCTCCAGCCACTACAAAGCCTCGAAGTTGCTCTTGGAATTATTGTTCTGTATCACACTTACTACACACTGCAGTACACACAACAAAATGAAGATGCCCATGTAAACAAATGACATGTCTATAGAAAATATACCAAAGCAATATCAACATGGGACCGTAAACTGTAATCATTACTGCTGCCATTTACCATCAGCGCTGTGTCTAACACACGCATCACAAACTACATTCAAGGAAGCACTAAATGGAATATGAAAACAGGATAAGGCAATGGAAGAAGTTGACTCGGAATGCTGTAATAAAACACTGCAAAATTGAGCCAAAAACAACTGGTAGAATAGAAGTGGAGAGGCAGAATGAACACAGACACAAACATATACAACATGAGTCGCTTCATTTGACCTCTTCTGAGTTGGGTCCCTGGCAAGGATTATGGGCAGTGCTTCAGAAAAAGATGAGCTCCTTGCTTTCTCAGCAGTCAGTTTTTAACCTCTGCGGTGAGCCGACTATTCTAAATCCATCAACGCTACGAGGGGAAAAGGGGAGAAAAAAGGCTTTTCACGTTTCATGTCCAAGCACCAAGGTCATTTTGGTGCCATCTGAAAAATCACAGGGAAAAGGCAAAATCATTTCATGGGATTAAGAGCTAAGCCAAAATAATTAACCAAAAGCATCAGCTGCTAATGTGCAGAGCAGGCAGACAAATGTTTGGATGAGGCTGTCAGAGAAGATCTGAGGTAATAACATGATTAATAAATGGTCAATTGATAGTTAATTAAATTCGAATTAAAAGTTATTTCACTGTGCTACAGAGGGGGTTGTGATCCGCTAAATGCCACTAATCTAGTGGTATAATTGCAAACTGCAACTCCCTTGCTTCACCCACCTATGAAATGTGAGAAAAACCGAAATGCCCTTCTCTAGAGCCAGTATTTGGTTTGACCCTTCTGGGCTACTGCAGAAACAGAGAAGTGACCTGCAGCGTCTGTAGATAAAACAGCTAAATGTAAGGTAACATAAAACATAACAATTTCTATATTCAGGCGATTATACATTAATGAAAACATAATTATGAATATTTTATATATAGAGCCTCCTAACTCTTAGACAGTGGACCTTTAAAGCTTTACAAATCATTTGGTAATCATTCTCAGATATTTAATATAGTAAATAAAATGTGTGCAACAATAAACAGTTTACTAATGCAATCGGAATGTAGTTTTTATTGTCTATTATCAGCTATATATATATATATATATTTCATATTTCTTATATTGCACAAACTGATGATAAAATAACATAAATTGTAGCATAACTAATAAGTAGTAAACTATTAATTATAATTTCGGCCACGACTAGCAGGTAGTTGTTAGCATATCTGCTGGGAAAAAAAACATATGGTACACCCCTATTATAAAACGTTAGTGATTAGCTACATGGGTACAGGCCTTGAGCCCTTACTCAGCCTCAGGGGACAAAGCTCTGCCACCAGTAACACACAGAGCAACCACTGTTGAGGAGCAAGGGCAGTTGAAGGAGATATCACAGTGGTAGGAGGCTGGGATTTGACAAGCTGTCTTGGCCAACCCTAGTGGGCCATCAGCTATGTGTGTGTGAGAGTGTGTGAAGAATGACAGCAGCCCGCTGTGTTCCCTGGTGCTCTGTGGTCTGTGGCCTTGAAGGCAGCACAGTCCCGAGGCTAACGTATTTTAATCCTGTTTCCTCTAGCTTTGTCACACCATGGGACTCCTCCAGCACTGCTCCGTTTCTCTGCCTGTATTTCCATCCAAACTTTTAGATTTTTAATTAATGCGGTCAAACAGGGAGACATTGCAGGGTGACAATTTTACAAATAGAATTTGAGACATGTATTCTGGCCACAGTGAGCTCTTTGGCAAGTTTGCACAAGAGTGACCTTGAAACATTGCAGGAATGTGGCTTCCTTGTTTCTCAGCATTTACTAAGGGTCTGAGGTTTGAACCCCATCTGGCAAGCTGTCGCCTGTCTTTGTGGAGTTTGCATTGTCTCACTGTGTTTGTCTGGGTTTTCTCAAGAAACACAGGAGCCATACTACTGCTTGCTAGCTAACTATTGAATTTCTATGTCACTAAAAGTTGAGGATTGATTGATTGATTGATGGATGGATGCCATTATATTATTGGTTGAAACTGGTTGGTTCACGATTTGTAAAAATACAACAAAATTGAGTTTTTGTACATTTTTGGTATACACTGTCAAATAGGGGTACAGTATGACTGGGCCTGCAATCTTGAAAGGGTAAAAATTCATTTTTCATTTCATCTTGACTTAAAGTGAAGATTTATTGGGAGAACCTAAGACTAAATGACAATATCAACTGACATAATAAGAACCTTCAGTAGGTTCCTGGTTTACTACCTGATCCTTGTCTTGAAGAGGAGCCCATAAACTAGGGTTACTGCTGTGCACCTCTGTCTGTCTGTCTGTCTGTCTGTCTGTCTGTCTGTCTGTCGCTCTCTCTCTCTCTCTCTCTCTCTCTCTCTCTCTCTCACCCCAACTGGTCGAGGCAGACGACCACCCACCTAGAGCCGAAGGATCTGTCCTAGGTTTCTGCCTCTTATCAGGCAGTTTTTCCTTGCCCTTGTCGCCAAGGTCTTGCTCATGGTGGTACTGTTGGGTCTCTGTAAATAATGTTATAAGGAGTTCGGTCTAGACCTGCTGTATTTGAAAAGTGTCCTGAGATAATTTCTGTTATGAATTGGCCCTATACAAATAAAACTGAATTGAATTGATTAGAATTGAAGAGTCCCAGGGCCCCTAGCACAGGAATCCAACCATGAAAAAACAAAATCAGCAATTAAAGCAGCAATGATCGGGCCCTCACAGTCCCCGTGCATTGGTGTGTGCTGCGGTTGCATCAAATTTCATGTGTCACTAAGACTGTGACTGAAAATTGGCATGTAGATGTGTTCAGGGTGGGACTCTCTCTTATCAAATCAAGTTTTGTTGAGATTGGACAAAGTATGATACGTCAAAATGTGACGCCAAACCACGGACACGCCATTAAACAGATAGTGACCATTTAGCCACGCACACGTGCCAGACCCATAGACTACAGAATTTTGCCATCTGTACCACATTACGTGAGTTTTGGAGCATGTTGCGGCTGCCAAATTCAATTCTTTTCAGAAAAAATAAGAATTCCTTCAGTTTCAATATGGCCTTCGCAAAGTTCGCTGCTTGGGCCCTAATAAATGTATTCAAGTATATTCTGTGCAAAGATGTGATACAGCTTTTTTCTGCTGTATAATTCCACTTTCAATGGTAAAATAAAACACATTGAGTTCTATTTAAGATTTCCTTCTTTAAGATGAATGTGGCAAATAAAAACGTCTGCTCAACACTGAGTTGTTTCCAAATACTACACATTCACTTCCGGTATGCCCAGGTTCTACCTGGTAATTACCTCCTTGTTAGATGTTTAAAAGAAAATGAAAAGTTTGCCCAGCTAGCAGGTTCCAGCAGGAACTGGTAACAACTGTGTTCAATCAATTAGCAGTCAAGAGAAAGAATCTTAGCTTGCTTGAACGTGTGATCAATAAAACCTGTTGAATTTAAATAATACATGGAAAACACATTTCAAAGCAGTAGCAATTCTCTCTCTAGCTTGTCAGAAGAAAGCATGTCACATGTTTGCAAGGCTTGGAGTTGGCACAGCAGCCCACCTCCCATTCTACCACATAAAGCATGAAATCAGGTGTTAAGCGTGTATTTCTGAGGACTAGCTTTTCAGGAGTAGCCCTGGCTACTAAAATAGGAAATCCATTTTAAAGGTCTTCAGAGGTAGTGAATAGTGAAATAATAGCTTAGTGTCACCTTATCAAATCAAATTTGAAGAGAAAGGGGGATTGCATTTCACTGAGATCAGACAGCGGTGTGTGGACTGCCAGGAGTGAATTTGTCCTTTGAGCAGAGCTGGCCAGGCTGGGTTGATGTAACAGCATTACACATTCATCCTGAGGAACCCTGCTGAGATCTGACACCCCAGTGTGTGTGTGTGTGTGTGTATGTGTGTGCCCCAGTGTGTGTAAGAAGAAGAATTAAACAGTTTAAGATAGAACTTACCAGGGAACTGGTAGCTATAGCTTGGGGTGAAGCCAGTGTAGCCCCTACCGTATGTAGCTACAATGTTGGGGTAACCTGGAGAGAAGGAAAGATATGGTTGTTAAGAAAATCTCATTTGAATCTAAACTGAAATGTATGGAAGCATATTGCTCCCACAGAAGCGGTCCAGTTGCGGTGATACAGTGATGCTACAGAGTGAAAGCTCCTCCCTCACAAATGATCTTTGGCTAGGTGCAGAGAGCAGCTGCAGAGAGCACTTTAATTAGACAATGGCAAGTTATTCATGGAGTGCCAGCTCATATGATCTGCTGCCAGCATCTTTTGTTGTCATTTTAACTGGTGAAAGTGACGCTCATCACCAGCTAAGCTAAGCTATCGGAATGTTTGAGCTTTCCTCTAAAAGAAGGGAAAGTCAGAGTCAGAGAATAGCAAATCTGTGTATTTTTGCCAACGTGGATTTCAGAATTCAGGCACCAATGCACACAAACATACTCATATATGTATCAGACTAGTATAACACTAATCCACTCACCATAATTGCCATCAGTTATATATGTAGATTTACTGGCTTAAGGGGTCCCTCTCCCAGTGAAGTACAGTGAAGTGTACACATGTAATTTACATTTACATATAGGAGCAAAATGCTTGAGACTGTAGTGCTGAAACACTAGCAGGCATCCATTTACTAATTGGTATAAAGTAACAAAATAATAAATTCCAGGGTGGATCAATTTATTTTTGTAAATTAGAAAATATTTGGCAGGCATCCTATCATGGGCCAGATTTGTCTTGCCACAAGTTGAGTATCACTGGTCTAAATCATTCTTTACTCTCTTCAACAAAGGCTCAAAGTTAAAGATGGGGTAAGCAATTGTGGAGAAAATCAATACCATGAGAAATACCATGATATAGAGCTAACAACGACTCAGCAAGTAATAGCTTAGCTATGTTGTGGGTTAGCAAACTGTTGCTAAAGATGCTGCTGTGACGCTAAAATGCTGAGAGGATGAGACGCTTTCCCAGAACCAATGATACTTGTGTGGCTCGCTTCTAGCTCATATAAGCTCATATAACAGACATGTCCATTTAAAGGTCAAATTAAGTTGTGTCAAATAAATATATACACAAACACACATACATACACACACACACACACAAACAAAAGCAGTGTACTTACTCAGCATGCCCATGCCCAGCATGAAGGCATCCATAGTGTATGGTAGGCCCCTGGCCCGACCTCGCCCCCCTGGAGGAAACATTATTTCCTTAGGCTGGGCCTTTTTGCATTCTACCTGTGGAGCATAAAGCAAAAAACAATACTGACACAGAAAACAACATGACAGTTCACTTTTACCATTTGGTGTCTGTCTCTTTCTTAATGTCTACATCCTGGCATGTGCTTTAGAGAAGGTTTTTTAGGTTTAGGTTAGGTTTTTGAGAATGTTTTGTTTGTCAGTAGTGACATGGCTATGGCTATGAAAGACTATTTAAAGAGCAAAGATTGAACTTCAAAGTTCAAACATGTACGTCATTACATCTGTGGCTCTCGGGTCTCCAGCTAGCAAAGATTTCAGCCAGATAGGGACTAATTGTTGCTTTAAAATGAATCAGTGTAATAATCAGCCAACATCTTTTGCAACTGTTCTTATATTATTTTAAATAAATGTTTGTCGTCTTAAAAGTGCATTTCGGAAAACTTTTCTTTAGCAGAGCGGAGCCAGCATTGTTGACTGTTTGACTTGTCAGCACCTTTCTCAATTCAAGAATATAAAGGACCAGTGTGTAGGATTCAGTTGCATCTACTGGTGAAAGGCCCTATCTAGAGCCAGTGTTTGGTTTGCCCGTTGGGCTACCGTAGAAACAAACTCTGCAGATAAAATTGTCTATGTCAGATGTGTTCTCGCACATTGGTAAAAGGCGGTCTAGGCGAGGGGTCATGACTACAGAGTGTGTGACTTTGGTCTGCCTGCCCCTTCGCAGTGTGCTGGGATTTTCAAACTGAACTATGAGCAGGACACACAGACTGTGTGGAAATCTGCTGTTTTTACATCACAGATGACAAAGAAAGGCCTTAAAACATAAGGTAAAAAATGCAACTCATGTAGGCTGATATTGATTGGCAGATATTTGATATGAAAAACAAACCATTAACTATAGAGTGGAAAGCAAACAGGCAGCAGAAAGGAGTACATTGAGTAGTTGTTTTTTTTCAGACTGATTAATCAGTATCAGGCCGACTAGCTGTCATTTTGAGATAATCAGCATCCACTGTTACTTCATGCTCACAAGGCCAATGAATAAAATGTCAACAGACACCTCTGCAGGCTACTGCTGCTGTGGAACAATGTTAGCGCTTTGGGAAGGATTTAAGCAATTTGTGATGGCTAGAAGACTGGTTCAGACCATCTCCAAAACTGCAGCTCTTGTAGGGTGTTCCCGGGCTGCAGAGGTCAGTACCTATCAAAAGTGGTCCAAGGAAGGAAAAGCAGTGAACCGGAGACAGGGTCATGGGTGGCCAAGGCTCACTGATGCATGTGGAAGGTTGTTGGTTCAATCCCTGGCTCCTCCTGCCACGTGTCAAGTATCCTTGAGCAAGATACTGAACCCTGAATTGCTCCTGATGCTGTGCACTAGTGAATGCATTAGTTAGCTTCTGTTGGATGGGCTTTGCCATCACTGAGTGAATATGTGTATAAGGGCAAATGTGGCATGTAGTGTAAAAGTTTACTGTCTTTTTCAGGGAGGGAAATCGGAAATGCTAATTTCTCCTGGATTGCACCAAGGCCATTTGCTTAAGGTCATAGAGTCTTTGTTTCAATGGCTTTGCCGATACCATCATTATGCCTCAATCAATATGCCAGAGGTAGAAAAAAACAACATGCCAAAGCCACTTTACCCTTCCAAGTTCTTGTTTAACTGTTGTGAATGGGAGGATGGTTGTAATTATTACCCAATGAGGTGGATACAGGGAAGTGCTGCCGGGAGGGGGGATGGTGTCACAGCACAAGCCTGGTGCCCATTTGCTAATGCTCCATGATGGGAGGTTCATCAAGCAGTGTGCCCCCTGCTTTTATTAACTACAGATGTGGAGGAGCAGAAATGTACAGAGAGGGGCTCAGACAGACAACAGTAAATGTCTCTCAGTGTGGGTTTAAGATTGGCAGTGCCACCCACTCCTTGCCCAGAGGGAGGATGAAGAGTGATGGATGGGCCTGTGCCACTTGGCAGGGTGCAATTAGTAACCCTCCAGGTGACAAAAGCAGAGTGGGAACTGAAGGCAGGTAGTAAGGCCAGCAGTGAAATCAATCGCTCTCACATTCTCACCGCCCTGTGTGACTGGACCCTGAACTTCCTGACAGACCGACCTCAGGCTGGACGGATAGGCAGCACCACATGCTCCTTGTCGAGACCATAGACTGTCGGAAGAAAAATGGACCTAGTCTCTGTAATGTCCCACATAGATTCCTGAAGAGCAATTGTGAAGCCCAGCGTGGTCGGCTGTGGCCATCACCATCTAGGCAGTCCTGACTCCACTGGCTGCTGGCTAATCCAAAAATGGGCAAATAGAGGTTCTCAAGATGGCGGCGTGAGAGATGGTCACGTTCGGGACAGCTGGTGTGCGAATTAGCTAATTTATTCATTTAACCCTACAAAAATAGCACTCCAACCTCTTAATGGTTCATTAACCTAATATGAACATTGACAATTACTTTTTGGGACAATCCAACAGCATGCCATGCTCCTGATGATGTTGAGCATAACCAACAGGCTGGCGAAGCCCTCACAGGAGCTAGCACCATTACCGACACCGGAGCCGAGGCTAGCTTACTGGCACTTCGTGAAGCAGAGGGTGAAATTACAGCTAACATCACAGACCCGGTCAATGGAAAATTTAAAGCGCCAGAAAAAATGGTGTGTGTATTAAGTGAGCGGGCTGACAATGTACAAACATCTGTATCGTCGGACTCCCAGAGGAGGCTGGGGGAGAAGACCCGACTCAGTTCTTCACGGCTATGCTCCCTAAAATCCTTCACATTAAAACAAAGTCAGGTCAGGTGAAGTTGAAGAGACCGCATCGCACGCTGCCCCTGAAGCCCCCCTCCACCCAGAGGCCGCGGCTGGTGCTGGTCAGGTTTCATAACTATCAAGATGAACAAGGAAATGGGAAGGAAAGACCAAGTGCTGAAATATGAAGATGCGACAGTAATGATATTTCAGGACTTTTCAGCATCCATTATCCGCCGGAGAAAGGGATACGATGGAGTGAAGAAGCAGCTGAGAGCGCTCTGTGCTGACTACAGGCAAGTCTACCCCGCGTCACTGAGAGTCACCTATCGCAGATCTACCAAGATGTTTCATGACCCAGCTGCGGTGGAGAAATACATCCAGTCTCTGAAGGATACCCCCCATGACGATGTGTGAACATTAATCTGTAAGTCTTCATGCTGAGGAGCGGATTTGTAGGACTTTCACTAGTTTTGTAGTTAGACAATGAATATGCATTTCACTTGATTTGGAGCACTGACTCTGTTTGTTAGCTCTGTAGGATCATTATATGCAATGCCTCCCGACCTCCCAGATAGATATCTTTCCTTTGTTGCTAGAGAATCCTTTCACTCCAGCTCCTCTAAGTTAAGGAGAAGGACAGTGTGTATATTTTAAGCCAATGTTAGGCAGGAGGTGCCTTAGATGCACTGTTTTTTGTTATATTTTTTATAATGTTATGTTCTGGTTCTATTTGGCTCACTCTGTTATAGATTATAATACAGGCAATATGTGTTCAGGCAATATTTTAGTTCATAACCCATGATCACGTAACTTTGAAACTATGCACTTGGAACGTAAAGGGTGTCCATACACCTGTCAAATGGAAAAAGATCTTAACTTATCTTAAAAGGGAATGGGTTGACATAGCGCTGTTGCAAGAAACATTTAAACGACAGCAAACAAATTAAATTACAACAGGAATGTTTTGGACAGGTTTATTATTCCTCTTTTACTTCAAGGAGTAGAGGTGTGGCCATTTTAATCCGGAGCAATGTACCATTCAAACTTCTAGACTGTACAAAAGACATAGCAGGTTGCTACATGATTGTGAGAGGCACACTTCATGGGGAAGAAATTGCTATAATGAATATTTACCCACCTGGACACCCAAGTGACCTCCTTACTTCTTCTTTTTCTAAAGTTATAGATCTTAATATCAGAAACACGTTTATTGGAGGAGATTTGAATCCTATTATGGACAAATCCCAACCTGGGTATCACTTTCACCTCAAGCCAAGATTGTCGCAGCGCTTTGTGAAGACCTAGGCTATATAGATGTGTGGAGAGCCCAACACATGGCTGAGAAAGAATATACTTTCTTTTTAAATGTTTACAAATCCTATACTAGGATTGACTATTTTTTTCTCCCGAGAATCCTGCTGCAGTCAGTTATCTCCAGCTCTATAGGAAATATAGTTATTTCTGATCATGCTGCTGTGTTCATACAATATAATTAACAGACCACAAGTTCATATCTAACTTTAGAGAGGAATTTCAATCATTTCTAGCTGTTAAGTCAGTCTCCACCAATGATCCTTCATTGCTGTGGGAAACATCTAAAGCCTTTTCAAGAGGTTTTATTATATCCTATATGTCCACTAAGAAGCGAAGGCAGAATGAACAAAGAATAATCTTAGAGTCCAAACTGAAATATGCTGGGAAAAAATATGTCAAAAAATCTGTACAGAAGCTTAAAGAGATTTCTGCTCTTCGGTACTCTTTAAATTGATTATGGACAAAAGATGCAGAAGGTAAAATCAGACTTGCCAGACAAAAAATTTACAAACATTTGTACAAATCTGGACTACAAACTGATACAACTGAAAAAATTAACACTTTTGTTTCTTAACCTTCCTAGATTGTCTGATGACCAGAAAACATTTCTTGAAGGTCCTATATCTAAGAAGGAGGTACTCGATGCTATTAAAGGGCTACAGTCTGGTAAAACTCTAGGTCCAGATGGATTCAGTAGTGAAATCTACAAAGAGTTCCATGATTTATTGACTGACCGGCTTTTAAATATGTTTAATGACTCTTTTAAGAAAGACATTTTACCGGTCTTTGAGAGAAGTGCACATCTCTCTAATTTAAAAAAAAAGGTAAAATCCCCGAAGACTGTGCATCATACAGGCCCATCTCTCTATTTAATACTGATTTGAAACTCCTCTCTAAGGTATTAGCAACAAAACTAGAAAGCTTACTCCCAGTTCTTATAGTTCTTATCGTAATTCATACAATAACATGC